TGTCTTTTCCAACAAACTAAAAATGGCTTGCGCACGAAATTTAAAAGCTTTAATCGTTTTTTGAGTTGATAGATGGAACATTTGTTGGGTTTTTAATTACTGTACAAAATTTCAGACAATTTGCTTTAGTTTAAGCCCTTTAACTATCTTTAGCCTTTCGCATGCTTAATTAATGCCTTTACTAATTTGCATATTGCTGACATATGCAAATTAGGCAAAGGCATTGATGATTTTTAAGAAAAAATGTAAGTTTGCGTGAATGGTTGAGTACAGTGGCGTAGCCAGCCCGACAATTTAGTCCCGCTATGCAAATTCAAAATTATTATCATTATTCATTTCTTTAGAAATTGATTGTGTTCACAGTCAATGAACACGAACATATTTGCATAGCGGGACTAAATCGTCGGGCTGGCTACGCTACTGGTTGAGTATAAGTACCCAAAGAAGCTATATACATAAAAAAATGGATACTAATAGCTGTTTTGCGAATTTAAGAGCAAATTTCAAATCTGGGCCGTTTTTTTTTTTATACACCCTGTAGTACCGCGTCGTGCAAGGCATTTTTTTAATACCATCGACTGGTGGGGCATTTGCCCCACGGGGCGCCTTCCTCTGCCCCACCACTGAAGAACAAAAATGGCCTATTGCCTAAAGCCAAGACCCTATGAGCTGTAATGAGTAAATGAGTTTAACATTGAAAAGAAGTTTAAAAACCAAATTTGTTGGTGAGCATACTTAAACTTATGTTGTGTTTGACGGTTTAGCATGCAATTTATTACAAATTTCAGCATTAAAAATTGGTTTTGAGAAGTTGAGATTTTTGTTTAATGTGTTCTCAGAATGCAGGAAATGCTATTTCAGAGACCCAAATCTTAAAATATCCTGGGGGCATGCCCCCGGACCCCCTAGCTATCTCGTGGCTGTGGTACTCGGCTCAAACCTTCGGCGATCGCATACTACCTTGGGGGGAGGGCAAGGAAAATGGGCCCTTTGGCAGTTGTCTCACCACTAAAGAATCCTTAAAAAATACACTGGCGTCGTGTGCGACCTTTTTATATGTAGTATGCTCGGTATGCTATGCCATACTAGCCGGTCAACAATGAATCTCAGGGCAAGCGAAAACTCGAGCGAAAACGCGGATCGTAGGATTTTTACTCGTACTCAAAATTCCCTTACTGCGTGTCAGTTTAATTTACAGTTTAAACATGGAAGAATAGACTCACATGCATGCATTGAAACATCATTTATATATACAACTTACAAGGCCTATAATTATATTTGTTTGTATTTTTGTTATTAGTAATAATTGAGCGAAAGGTTATCACCACACGCTAAAGGTTTTTTATCCATCGTCGCTTATAAAATATTTCGTGTGAGAAAGGATCAATATTAAAGTCTAAAGAACTGCCTGTATTAAAGTGATGCAAAACTGAAAACTTCAAACAAAAATTGAAGATGTAATATCCTTTTGCACTTCAAAAGTAGCTAAGTCGGCAAAAACAAGGAAGCCAATCATCTTTTGTTACTTTATTATTTTGTTTGATATGTTTTCAACAACAAACAAAGATGGTCCATTTATTCTCAACAAATAACAATTCTAGGTTTGACTTCTATTTTTCGGGCAAATATTTATTACTTTGAGACTGATTTCTGCGAGGATTTCTGTTCGTTATTAGTAGCTATCGGTCAGCCAAGTCAGAAAATTAAAAAGGCACGTTTTACGCAATAATTATTGCAGCAATACTTTCACACACCCCGGTATTTCTTATTCGAATTTTTAACAAATTAAGAATTTTTAGTGTTCCGGTGTTCCGTGTTCAGGAATGATGCTGTTCCGGTGTTCCTGGTTTTACTAATAGCCATTAATTAATTGCCAAAACAGTAAATTTGCCAACTTGGCAACTTTTTATATAAACGTAAACATTGTCATTGACATTGACATTGCATTGAAATAAATGTATTAAACACGATGACCTACGAACTGTACCTAAGACATAATAAATTTTAATCTTGAATTCAATTAAATTTATTGAAACAAAGGCTGTGTTAGTAAAAGCTAGTGTATCTCGATTACTATATTATGCCAACAGCAAACTTCGCGCTTGTTATTATCCTTTTACTTCAATTACGGCACATAAACCGAATATCTTAGTACCTCTCATACATTCATGCAAGTCATACATAACTATCCATATCAATAAAACTCATGCGGCTGTCTGCATGTGCACAGGCTACAATATGCGGGTCTTGAATAATTGAATAATTAAAATATTACAAAAAATTCTGTCAAATTCTGCGACACCTTTTGATGGTATACCGTCTGTTCACAGACTGTATATACTATGAAACTATACAGCACGCAAATTATATTTTAATATCAGAAAAATGCTTTTTTTACGACTATGCTTTTATTGCAGATTAATTTTCATACTAGAAAATACATGCATGCAGAAACCCTCGCCTTGCTGACAAAACCATTGTATTTTCCGAACTTGAAGTATCCAAAGTTGTTGTCATGGTAACACGATAATTTTTAAAGAATATTCTTACAAATGAAAAATCGCCTAAAAATATCACTTTTAATTACAAAATTATCAATTTCCCAACATATATAGTTAGGTATGCTATTATACGTAATATAAGCTTCAATTTAAGGTAAAATTCAAACACAAAAGCTTCGCAAAAACGTTTTAAAATGTTCTTTATAAAACTATTAAAACTGTCTTTAATTATTAAAATGGCTTTATCGATAAACTTTGAGTTTGCAATAAAATGATTTCAAATTCTCGCATGCAAATAACTTTGTTTTCTTTTTTATTTAAAAAATTCAATATAGGCCTAATAAAATATTATTAATACACTGAAATTATATGCTGTCTTGTTTAGTTGTTTCATATACGCAAAGCCAAAGGGCCAAAGCGGCCGTCGGATTTTAAAGCAATTATAAAATCAATATTTAAAACAAACTTACCTTCGTTGACGTTGGCTCCCTTCTTTTAGCCGATTCTTTCGCCCTTTCTTTCTTTCTTGAAATTTACAAAATCTTGCAAAAATGCGAGCAAAAATTAAATATATTTGCAAGAAATTTATCAATCATCAAATCAAGAAATGTTTGCTATTTCGCTGTCGTCATACAGTCGACAGTCGTTATAATGCAAACTTTAAATTGGACCAATCAGTGTCCGCTATTCATGACAGTCTGCCATATTTTTGAGATCAGTAGTGAGGATGACCACCGAACCACTCACGGTAACCCACGCCCGCACTCATTGATGAACTTTAGACTTGGCTAATGCTTTCGTTTCCCCGGGTGTAAATAGCCGGGGGGGGGAATTAGTACCCTCGCACGGGGATACGTACCATCGGCTCGGGGATAAAGATAGATTAGGGTTGAAATTATAGATTAAATATAAACTAGCGTGCTATAAATGTGGAACAAAGAGCTATAGACAAACATTTATATATAGACATGATATTGCATGTTATACTGCACGAGGATATTATATTTCATGTTATTTATAGAATAATGTGTCTGCCTATACTGCCTACAGTCATAGAAAGAATAAAACATAGTTGTACAACAAAATTTCGTGACATAAACTGAGCTAATTCTAATTGACGACTAGGAGGCAGCAAAACACTTGCAGGGCATGGTTGGGATCCGTAGTTATTTTCTCCCATAAATCTCTGTCTTTATTGTTTAATATATCAACAATCGATACCTGATACATAAGATATCCATACTTATATGCACGTTTTAAAAGTTTATCTACTCGACTAAGATACTTAGAATACGACGCACATCCCCAGACCTCTATACCAAAAACTAATATTGATAAAATAAGACTATGGAACAGAAGATCCAGCTCTTTCCTAGAAAACCCGTAGTATTTGCAAATCCGAATAATGTACATTCTGCTACAGGCTTTACTCATTAATTCATCTAGATGCATGTCCCACATGGAAGGATTCTCTTGAAACGTTACACCAAGTATCTTCAACCAACTTTTACGAACAA